ATGAAGGCAATTAGTTAAAATGACTGTTTAGTGATGTTTCCAATTTGCATGAAATTCCAGTATGTCTAGTAGTCAAAGTACCATAACACAAAGTACCATAAACACTGCTGCAGTCGAAGTACCATAAAACATAGAATTTCATTGATGTACTTCTCGATTGAACAAGCTATTAACACATTCGTGTTAACAGCTTTTCATTCGAGATTATACTATAGGAAAGTAAATCTTTTTGCAGCAAAAACCTACAGCGGAACAAGTCCCTGACATACTGAAAATTAACTATTTTGACTGAAACTATTGATTATTTATAGTAAAATAAGGATCATGTTACCTATGTACTAGTTTGGTTTTATTTATTACCAAAGGAAAGCGTTAAGGAGCATTGAATTTTACATGAAAAAAATATTGTACCAATAAAGCATAATTTAGTTTCAAGTCATTGAAGTTTAACTCTGTTGCTTGTGCTTTGAGAGATTGTAAAACTTCATGATGTATTACTTTAAGTATTTTCAATTAAATTCTTTAATTTTCTCTCTTATATTTTTGGTTTAATTTAAAAACTTCCACATTGTGAACACACACAGTCCTACTGCCGAACATATGCACCTCGAATCCCCCATTTAGAATTTCCTTTCTTTTTTTATTTTATATTTTGTGCGAATTTAACCAATATTATATTAAAAATGATCATATCAAAAATCGATATCAATGAAAATGTTTACTTCCACATGCATATTCTTAAAATGATGTACGAGGGTTTAATGACTTTTGGAGAATGAGAGACTAAAGTTTGGAAATTATCCGCAATAAATGTTTTAAGCGAAAAAAAAAATAAAATAAAATAAGGAAAATAAAAAAGAAAAATCTGAAAGGGTTCAGATTTTTGTTAATTTATTTTATACTCTATTATCGAAAGGGTTTGTTAAGGTTTTTCATACTCTCGCTGAGTTCGCAGTCTACTAATCACTCCTGATAACCCATTTCTTTTTGTCCTTTTAGCTTTACTGTTAAGTCTCAGTTTCTTCAAAGCAATTTGTAATTCATCAATTTTTTCTATTTTTTATGTGAACTCTTGTTTTCTCTCTGAAAAATATTTTGAAGTCAATTGGACATGTACTACCTTTTAAAGTTTTCACAAAGGGAAAATCTGAAGCTGCCCTTCTGCAAAATTAGTGTGAAAGAAGACCTAAGAATGAGATTTATTACACTGCTGCTTATTCATTCATTACGATTCAATCATGATTCATTTATTACCTACCACCCAACAGCATAACATTCCCATCTTATCAACATCCTGAAGCCAAATATCTGACAAATTGTACACCGAGTCCCATTTCTTGCGATTACTGTCATTGTTTGACAGAATTCTTAGTTTAAGATACTGCAAGTTTCTGAAACCAGAACTGTATTTTCATGTAACCATTCCTGCATTAATCTTTTGCAACGCTATAATAAAGTTTATCATTTAATATTTACATTCTAATTATTTGTTACTTTGCCCGAGTGATGGTTTGTAAGTTTCCTTACTAATATGAAGTCTCTAAAATCTCGTACAAATGCTTTTGATAGTGCACATCTAAAATATGACCATTTTGAGAATAATTTTGAGAATTCATTTTGAGATTTTTATCACTTATATAATGCGGATGTTTTTTAATAATTTTATTGAAGACTTCTGTCATCAAACCTCGTTGCATGCTTAATCTCGAATTTGATAAATATATTAATGATTTACTAATATCCAGAACATAACCTTTTGGAATGTAAATTACTATTCTGAAAAGTACACCAGCTTATTAAAATTAGAACTCAGTTGCTTAAACTTACTGTTTTCTGTGATGCATATATAGACATTGATGAACTTTAGCGTCTGGCGCAGTAATTAAAATTCCATTTCCTCTCTCATCTGGATGAAGTAATATTTAGTGGTTTTCATGAAAATTATTTATCATTTAAAATCTCTTCTGAAGCAGACCTTAAGCTAGGACTTAAGCTAGGACTTAAGGTTTTGTACGGTACAATATAGACATATTAATGGATTTTTCTTTGCTAACACTTTTTGTTTGGTACAATCTTTTTAAGTTTATACTTTTCAAAATTCACATGAAATATGTAGTTTAGAATATTATGTGCACTTCCAATGCAATTGAAAGAAATTCTAATGATATTTTTGTTTTTCTTATTTTTTCCCTTCGTTCTATAATTTTGGACATTCGGGTACATCCACTTGGGAATTCATACTACAAAACAGATGAGCAACAACAGCAAATGAAAAAAATGAAATTGACAACTCTGAGCAGCAGGTTTCGCCCCAGGCAGCACGTCTCCAAAAATATACGTATAATTTTGGTGAAATAAGGGTATGGTATTTTTTGCACGTTACTTTTACGAAATTTATACGAATGAAAAAGGCTGAAGTTACTGTTGACTCTTGATCGTTATTTTCCACACGTTATTTTTACGAAAATTATACGAATCCGAATGTACTGATAAAACTACCGCCATGATGGTATATTTTATTCGTCACTTTTACGCATATTATACGAATCCGAATGTTCTGAAAGAAACTACTGCCTTTATGGTATATTTCATTCGTCACTTTTACGGATATTATACGAAGTCTAAAAGGATTGAAAATGAAGTTTATTAATTCAAAATATTTAGTGTATTTCTGGCATTTCACTTTGTTTTCCTTGTCGACGAACATGAAAAAAGGGGCATTCATATATGAGGCTAAAATTTTTCTATAAATTTTAACATGTGAGCTAAATCTTTACGTGCATTTTTACAAAAAAATTATATTTTCTTAATTCAAACATCTTCAAAATAACTTATTTATTTTCTTATATCAAATTTGTTATTTTTATTCATATCAACACTTACATTAATTTACACAATTTAATTTCTTTTATGAAAATCCTATTACCCATTTAGCTGGAATAAGCTGTATATTAAATTTGTGTACTTACTGAGTTTGGTATAATACTCGCCTTATTTTATTTAGCAAATGTGGGCAATTAAATTGGAATAAGACTAGCAAATCTTTCATGTCGAGGAATAGAATAATAAATACAGCAGAAGATGCTCGAAAACGTTTAACTTCTTGAAAAATAGTTTAATGTAGACCAAAGGATCATTAATTATAATCAAAGATATACTAATATTTTTTATTTAATAATAATAATAATAACTCTACGAAATTGCAAGCTGAATCCTGATATTTTACATATATTTCAGTTCCTTTAATCTTTGTTATAAAAATCATATGAGGCTATTTTTTTTTTTTATTTTTGTTTAATGTACGGAAAAAATGATATAGCGATTTTAAGTAATTTTTATATGAGGAAAAAATTAATAAATAATGTAAATAAATAATTATATTATATTTTATATTTTTCCTGAAACAGTTAAAGACATTCTTAATATGGAGATCTACAGAATAAGTACAAGGGTCCAGTTAAATGAACTCAAAATTTGCATAGTTAATTTTACGCTAAACTTTATAAAAATTAACCGGATTTACGATTATACACTGAGCATGCGCATACACAGACATTTCTATTTTTCGTAGAAAAATTTAATTATTACCTTAATACAGAGATGCTGTGAATATAAATTTATATAATGCAAAAGTAAGTTTATTTCATATGCTAATTTAGAGGCCTTTCTTAATATGTTTAATTATAAAGAAAAAAAAAAGCGTTGCAATTCTTGTTCACTGACCAATGGCAAAGCAGACACTTTCTACTTCCGGTTGTGGCGGGATATTTGTGAAGTCAGCACTCAGCAATGGCGGTCGAAAAGAATGGTAAAGTCGCAAAGAATACTGTTTGTTCGTGGATTGGCGTTTGTGACTGAATCCATCGATGTTATGTTACTAATTATTTGAAGAAAGTAAGTGAATATTTTATATTTTCAGTGTTTAATACTCGTACTTTCTTCACCTATATAAAATTTTATAAATAGCGTCTGTGTAGGAAATGTGATTTTCCATGTGTTTTCTTTTGTGATTTGGTTCATTTTACATTTGGTACTGTTGTTAAATTTTGAATAACCACTAGAAAAAAAATTTCTGCTGTTTCTTACTGTTTGTGTCACTCCTTTATGTATGTGTCTCACCTTTTTATAGTTATATTATTTTTTACTCAAACGTTTTAATATTTATCTTAAAGCATACTGTAATTAAGCAGGAAATAGCTTTTAATGGAAAAAGAAAGGCAATATTAACATGACTAATTGTTCAGAAATCTCTTATGGAAATGTTATCTACCTTATGCCAAAAAATAAAGCATGTAACTTTCATTTATTTATGAAATTCAAAATTTTTTATTTGCTTAGTGTTTTCCCTAAAAATAATTTAATTTCTTATTTTTGAATTTAGTTTTATAAATTTGCTTTAATATATAATCTTTAACTCAAAGATATTGTGCTATTAAAAAAGGAAATTTTATGCCATAGAAACACAGGTACTTTGTTCCAAATCTGTGTTAATTTTTTTTTTATATATATACTGAATTTTTATGCACTTGTAATTACTGAAATATATCCTTTCATGAATGCATTTCTTTTTTGTTTGTTTGATTTTGTTGTTTTAAAAGATCTGCCATAGTTAAAGAAAGAAAATAAAGTAAGAATGCTTTACTTTCAGTTTTGAATAAATTTATTACTATTTACTGCAGCTTCAAGTTTCTCTAAACATAATTTTCGAAGTCAAAACTTGATAGTTATGTTGATTATTAGACTTGCATGAAAAAATTAGTATTTGATCTAAAATACCTTAAATTATTTGAATTATATTTTACTAAATCATGTATTTTGATATAACTAGATAGTTAAAAAAATTTAAATTGTAAATGTGCAGAAATGCTTATATAAAACCAAGAAATTGTTTATATTTTTGTTGCTTTTTACCTTGTAAATTAATTATATATATATTACAGTCTGGGGAGTCAGCACCCTGCTGAATTGTAGTAAACGAGACGTCCAATCTACTAGACCATCAAAGATGCAGATTTGGATTTTCTATTTCATAGTTATTGAAATCATAATGGTATGTTTGTTTAAATTAGTACTGTTTATGAATGTGATAAAAATAAATTCTGATAAGCTAAGAAATGATTTATTTTCTATTAATTATGAACTGTAAATAATGTAACCAATTTTCTTCATAGTAGTTACTAAAAAAATTTTTTTTTAAAGGGAGGTAGTCTTATTTATACAATTCTTGCAAAGATACCAAGAGATAAAACATTTCAGGAATTTTCACTCAGTGTATCTTGATGTGTAAAATCGTGGCATTGAAATGCCATATTACTTTTTCACAGGAAAGTAATTTTATTGATCTAACATCTGCATAAATCAAACTTTTTTAAGAATGATTACAGTTTCTAAGCTAACTTAAAATTGTTCAGATTTAGAAAACATATGTTTAATATATCATTAGTTTTCCATGGAATAGAAAAGGTTTTAAACATGTTCAGTTGTTAGAGAGGGAAATAATATAAATGGAGATTGTCCTGATATAGTTTCAGCTGGAAATGAAACTGAATTTTTCGGATAGTGAAGAGGAAATTCTCATTTAAGAATTTTAATAAAACTGATTAATGTAAATCCTCTGCATTTAAAAATTCTAATTAAAACTGATTAATGTAAATCCTCTGCATTTAAGAATTCTAATAAAACTGATTAATGTAAATCCTATGATTCATGTAGCTATTCTTCTGTTATCAGGACCAGATTCAGAAATGTGTGTTTATATGCTTGCATTTTTAAATGTAGGTGCTCGTGTGTGCATGTGTATATTCTTTATGTATGTATGTGTATACTACTTTACACATATATGTGCATACATGCATATATACATGCTTACATATCTACAGTGGAACCCCGAGATACGAATTTAATTCGTTCCAGCATTCAACTGGTATAGCGAATTTCTTGTATCTAGAAAAAAGCTTCCCCATTGAAAATAATGGAAATTCAGTTAACCCGTTCCACACCCCAAAAAATATCAACATTTTAAAATCAAGTCAATTTTTCCTAATAAATAACACTGGTAAATAATATAACAATAGTTTAACTTTGTTACCAACATTTTAACTCCTTCTCATTAATCCACACCAACAACAGCTTCTCAACATCTAGGAGTACTTTTATGGTGCTTGGAAGAAACGATAATTCCTTTGGCTACATCAGGTTTCTTAATTTCTTCCTGCTTCTTCAGAATAGTATAGATTTTCGATGTTGAAAGGCCGCAAGTCTTCGCCAATTCCGTCACCATGCTTATGTTTATCTATGATTTCTTTCTTGATATCGACGGCAATGGCCTCCTTATTTTTCTTTGCAGCACTATCTGAGGCAACAATCTTCTTGTGAGGCATCTTGAAATAATTATTTTCACGTTAAATGTCAAAACAATTAACTTACAAGTGCACAAACACGTATATAAAAGAACACTGAGTGATCTGTCAAGGGGATTCCCCGAGCTGAGCCGGATAAGAAAATGGCACCACCCGTACCAACAGCCTGGCTCATTGCTCGTTACTCGAATTAATGCTCGTATTTTGCTCATACTTTCCTTGTATCTCGAGGTTTCATTGTACATTTCTGAATCCCGTCCTAATAACAGAGGAGTACCTTTGCCAGTATTGCAACAGAGCTAGAATGAATTATTGTGTTAAATATGTGGAAAATGCATGCTAAAGTACTGTTATTTTCTAAAAATATTCTGTATGTCTATTTTTTACAAGAAGAAAAAATAGCTAAAAGCTGTTAATTTACTCGTATTATTAGTCCAAAGGGGCTTTGTCCCTAAAGAACTATTGTTTTTGTTTTGCATTGGTTCACTATAAATATCTGTTTCACTTTTCAAACTGTTCCTTTCCTACCAATGTTAGAGTGCCTAGTGTGGGATTAATACTCTCTATCTTAGTGCCCTCTATAACCTATATTAGGGTTAACCTGTATAACCTACAAGGATGCCAGTTTAGGCGAGATATCTAGGTAGTCATCATAATACGTACCGTATTTTTCATTATTTTTTAAATTAAATTGAAAGTAATAAACTAGTTTTCAAGAATGGGAGTTAAACTAGATTGCATTCAACTCTGGTTTATTGTGTTAATGATGTTTTGCTGTAACAAATATGAATTTTTTGTTTAAGTATAATATTTAAAAAATTTTTTTTCTAGAGAATGAAGTACTGCCACTAAGGTAACTTGCAAGGTAATTTTCTATTCTACATTAACTCAATCTTTATGCCCTGTTACAGATATATTGGCAGAAATAATGAAAACCTGACATTCAAAAAGAAATAACGTTGAATGTATATATTAGATGGTTAACTGCGGTTTGGCAGCTCATTAATAATCTTACACATATTGAGTACGAATAACTTTGACAATTACCGCTATTTTCAATAGTATAAAATTAGGCAAGAAAGCAGCTTTAGCTTAGCACCGATTTTTAAATACAACTCTTTTAACCATATTGGTTTGACGAAGGTAAAATATAATTGAATTTAATAAGTTGGAAATACTGTCTGAGTTAAAAATAATTTCAAATAAAATTTCTTTTTTTCAGTTTTTCATGTTATTTGTTTAATGTTATTGTAATCTGATTTATCATATTTAGTCACATATTCCATCCCTCTTTGCACTATAGTATATAATTCAAAGGACTTATAATATTTTTTTTACCAGTATACATTTTTACCATAACTCTGTTTCTAAATCATATATCCTAAAAATTAAGGAGTAAAGTACACAAAGAAGGAAAATATGCAAGTAAATAATGGCATTTAGTGTGGTTTATGTGTCTAATATTTGTACTAGATTGTAAAAGTTATAAAATTCTATTAGCTTTTTTAAATTGAGATGCTTTTTTGCACCCAAATGGTTAAAGCCCTAGTGTGACTTTGGTACTTTGATCTAACTTCTATTCCTAATAAATAATCAATCTGCATACAGTTTACTCAATTTCTGCCATGTGTAAGGTAAACAATATTAGCTTTTTTTAAATATATCTTTTACAACTATTCCATCAGTAGATTTCTTTCATATTTTGCCTTTGAGTCATCCTGCTAATTAAGAATTTATTAAAGTTAATATGTTAAGTTTTTTGTGTGTATAATTCATTTTAAGTATGTGCAAGCAAATGCATACATTAACGTTACGTAGAATTATTTTTGGGTATCAAATTCAGAAATTTTGGGCTGTTTTTAGAAGATTTATTAATGATTTATACTATATTAATATTGGTAAAAAAATTCTGTGGCTTTATATGAGAGTATATATTTTAAAATAGCTGCATGATATGGTAGAGGTAAAAGTTTTATGTGGATCATAAATTAATATTATGTGGGAATTTTTCATTTATTTAATAAAGAAAATATTCAAGCCACAATTAAAATTTTTTCACTGGATTATTTGCATACAAAGTTTTGCAGCAAATATTTCCTGCAACAGAAGTGATAATTTTTATTTTGCCAAGACAGGAAATTTAGTTAGTGAAATCAGTAACCCTATTTTGAGATGTTAAAACAGGAAGGACAAATTTTTGAATTTAAATTGATTTTTGAAGGAAGCCTTCATTTAGTCTTGCTATCATTCTACGTGGCTCTTAACGTTTTTATGGTATTTATAATTTTATTGTTATTCAGCTTTCTGTTTGCTTAGAATGCACATGAATGTAGACTTGAAATATTTATATTGCAAACTGAGATGCCATTGTGTTATCATAATTAAAGATTTTTGCTCTGATTTTGGAGGAATTTGCTGATAATACTTTTGATTGCGTATTGGTTTCTGGTTTATTGAAATGTGTAAAATAGTTTGTTAATGCATATACGTATGTTAATGACATGTATATGTTTATGAAGTATTCTGTTATATGTATATAGTGTTGTGATTAGTTTTCTGCTTACTCTTTATTTAAGAAAAAGTTATCTGTAAGAAAGCGAATATTCTTTACTATATGTAGGAGTAAAATTGAAAAGGCTAATGCAATATAATTAATACAAAATTAAGTTTTTTCTCATGTACTTAAATACTAAAGACTTTCTCAACCTTGCAGTTCTAAACAAATCTTAAGTATTTTTTACTTGAAATTATAGGCATTGTGTAAGGTATATAATTGAAGCTTACTGTGTGATAGTATGAAATTAAATTTTTAATTACTGAAATGTAAATTTTTAAATATGAAATACTCAGTGCATTTTATATGCATCTTTTTAATACTTCAATTATATTTAAAAACTGAAAACATCTGAAGTGTGAAATTATTACAAATTTTTCTTTTTCTTGTTTAGGAGCTGTTCTCAAAACATTGGGTGACAAAGAATTATTTTACAAAAATCGAGCAGGATATTAAAGACAGCGAACTATAGAACAAATATGGTGAAGCTACATGAAGTCTATGTGGAATTTTATTATTGAAAAAAATATGCTCTTCAGATTTAATGTTAGTTTTTATTGTTTAACAGTAATTGCAGTTTTCGAATACCTGTAAAATAAACCTAATTCTTAAATTAATTTCATGTGTATTTCTTTTGCAAGTATTACAGTTCATAATACTTCAAACAACTTGAAATTTTATACTTGTTAATTTATGTGGGATATGTTCATAATAATTTTATAATTTAAATAACTCATTGTCATCATATGAGCATAATCTAAAATAATGCACAGCATTTGACAACAAATTAATAAAAAATTAGCCAACTTCTAATTGCTTTCTTTTGTCCAGTTGCCTCTTTTTAAATCATTTAATACCATAAAGCTATTTGATGAAAAAAAATAATTGGTATGTGCACATCAACATGTACATTTATAATGATGTCATAGAAAAAGTCACATGAGATAAATATTTAAAAACTTAAATATTCCTAAACAAATTAACTTTTTAAAATTTTATCTGGTATATAAGATAAAATAAAGAACATATTTAGGTAATTTTGAATTTGCATAATTTTATGAACTTATTTATGAAATTAACAGTTACATTGTAAAAGGGAACTTTTTAAAAATACCTCAATAAAGCATTTCTTTTGTAGAGGTGAACTTTTAGTACTGATCTAATATATTTATAAGATTTTAAACTGAAAAAGACAACAATAATAGATTACAATACATTGCAAGATTGACTGATAAATGCAAAATTTTTACATCATATAATTATGTGTGTAATTAAAACAGAAGTTACTCGATTAACTTGCATGCAAATTAATATTTTCTTTAACATGTTTGGGATAAATTGAATTTTAATAAATAAATATGTATAGATTTATGTAATATTTGAAGATATGAATGAAATATTTGTGACATTAAACATTCATCTTCAAGGAAAATAAAGTCAACTTGGTAAACTATTGGAAAAGGTAAGTTTTCTACAATTTCCTGGTCTATATTTAACAATTTTAAAATTTAGCACACTCATTCAAATAATCTAAATGTATGATGTTTTCTTTTGTGTTACATTCGTTTATTTAATTTGTTAATTAACTATATTGTACTTTAGATAGAAATTAACGTAGATATTCCCTGTATTTTACGGTACAAAAACTTATATATTTGATAATAATTGACCTAAATCTTCCCTATGTTTTCTTTGCATATACGAATGACTTTGGTAAAAATTTAGTCCGATGTCTTCTCCTCTTTACTGTGTATAAGTGCACATTTTTGGTAAAAAATTTGCATAAATCTCCAATTACCTATACTTACTGCATTTTTCGTAAAATGTGCTTATTTTAATCTCTTATTTTTTATATAAATCTCTGCAAAAATTTCTGCATATTATGATTAAAAGATAAAATTAATATCAAATTTTTACATATCCACCTTTTAGGTATGTACAGCAATATGAAATATATATACTGGAAAATTTAAATGCAAAAAAATTAATTTCTATTCAAAATTACATAACACCAAAAGGCTGAAAATCACTTTTAATATTTCATTTCAAAGTGACTACAAAATATGCAATAAATTTTGTAAACCTGAGTTCTATGTTTTAAATCAATGCTATCGTTCATTTACATGGCATAAGAAAATGTCCTTCAGAAAAGCAAATAATTTATTTAAAGTGTTATTTAGTAAACAACTGTTTGCTACAGTTTTTTACTAAATTTAAATTTATGAAATGAATTTAGTAAACAAAAATGCAAATGAACGATGGCATTAATTGATTTAAAACACAGAATTGATGTTTACTAAATTTATTGCATATTTTGTAGTCACTTTGAAATGAAATATTGAACGTCATTTTCAGCCTTTAAGTGTTACGTAATTTTTTAATAGAAATTTTTTTTTTTTTTGCATTTACTAGTGCATTTAAATTTTCCAGTTATATATATTCCATATTGCTGTACATAACTAAAAGGCAGATATGTAGAATTTGATATAAAAAATTATTTTACCTTTTAATCATAGCATACAGAAAGTTTTTGCATTGATTTATATAAAAAATATGAGATTAAAATAAGTACATTTTATGAAAGTGAAAGGTAATTGGAGATTTATGCAAATTTTTTACCAAAAAAAATGTGCATTTATACACAGTAAAGTGGAGAATACATCGGATTAAATTTTTACCAGTCATTCGCATATGCAAAGAAAACATAGGGAAGATTTAGGTCAATTACTATCAAATATATACGTTTTTGTACCGTAAATTACGGGAAATATGTACGTTAATTTCTATCAAATATATACGTTTTTGTACCGTAAAATACGGGGAATATCTACCTTAATTTTTACCTAATATATACGTTTTATATACAGTAAAAAATCGGGGAAATTACGTAAATTTTTACTAAATATATACGCATACGTAAAGCAAAAATTTGAGATTATGTATATGCGATAAATATACGTAAATTTTACTAAAAATATACGTAAATCTCTAAATTTACGTATATTATACGTAAAAGTTCCGAATGAACAGTAGTCTCTCGCGTAAATATACCTAAATTTTACGTAAAAGTTACGTATAGTATAACGTAAAAATATACGTAAATATTTAGTAATTGCCACTGGACACTTTTTATGATATTTTTACGTTCAACTTGAACGTTTTTTATACGAAAGGCCATTCGTAAATTGCACGTATTTTTCTCGTGCAATTTACGAATGCATGCTGCCTGGGGCAGATATAACTCAAGATTAAAACTTGAACACACAAAAGAATCCCACATAAAATTTTAACAACCAGCTATAAGAAGAGATAACCCCTTGTTTAGCAAAAGTTTAGAGGTTTGCGGACATACATAAAATGCAGTCGTAAACTGTTATGGTTATAGTTGTTCCTGGTCCTACAAGACTTCTGTTTTTCACTGAGACTGCAATAGAAATTTCTTATTCTTTCAGACTGATTAAACTTTTATCATGCATGATGTTTTCAAAACTATATGCCACATAGTTTGAGCTATTATTTATTATGTTTGGTTGTAATCTGTTATCGAACTTCTTAATGTTCGATAGCAGCATATGTTAAGTCGGTTCTTTTAGGAAAAAACGACAATTATTCTTCTGAAATGCAAGCCGAAGAATTCTTTCTCTCTACGATACAGTACAAATCATAGGAAAATTGCAAATTCCCATTTTAAAATATTATTTTTGTCGAAATGATTATATTTTTCCTCTACTGTAAGATTTCATTTGCATTAAATGAAGCTTAAGTATTTATGATTTTTATACTTACAAAAACGATTAAAAATAAGCATAGTGCTCTCCATAGTAACTCATGCTAAAGCCACTGGTTTATTGGAACTTAAATATTCACAAAAATAAGAACTTTTGGAACAATTTTGGGTAGGAGAGAAGGTAATATAAAAGCATAACAGTGTAGCATTTAAGCATTTTTAAGCATTTCACCTAGCTATTACGAAATATCTTTTTAAACCATTAACGTATTTTCCCTTTTGTGATTAGATTTAGAAAAATACTTTAAATGTTAAATGTTTAGGAAAATAGCATGTTGAGGATAATTATCTGCAGTAATGCGGGTATAATATTTTAGTTAAGAAGAATATTCAAATCTCTTTCTTAATAAGTTAGCAAATAAAGAAAAGTAAAAATAACTTCTGTTTGAAAGGAAACTTCTGTTTGGAGGCTTGAAAGGAAACTTATGAGAACTGCATTTTCGCAACCTTTTGCCTGCGTTATATTATTTTACTTTGTACAATATAATAAATAAGACTTCCTTTTTTTTCAGATTGTGCGTAATAAAAAATATTTTTTTTAAATTGTGCGTAATAAAAAATATTTTTTTCAGATTGTGCGGAATAAAAAATATTTTTTCAGATTGTGCGTAATAAAAATATTTTTTCAGATTGTGCGTAGTAAAAAATATTTTTTACTAGATTGTGCGTAATAAAAAATATTTTTTCAGATCGTGCGTAATACCTTCATGAATAAACTATACTTTCGTCTAAATGGTTGCATAATTTTTTTGGAGTTATATAAGGATGTGTTAGTCTGGTAATAACTGAAGATGCAGTTTTTTCTTCTCTTTTCTTCTTTTCAAAATCATAGGCCTTATTTTTTTTCCTTTCCTTTTCACAAATGATCGGAATAACTTTGATGGGAAACTTGCCGGGAAATTTAAAAGTTTATCTTTACACACTTTTTTAATTTGCGCCAACAATCATTCACTTGGGGAAATTCTTAATTTATAGCAACCTACTTTCCTTTCTCTTTTTTAAATGTACACGAGCGAAAAAAAATGCATCGTTTATCCTTTCAAATAATTTTAATACAGTGCGGAAGCCACATTTGCAGTACTATCGCTTATAACAAATACGCCAAATTTTAAAATGAGCCAATATGTAAATTCACATATACCTTGGGAAATTTTGAATAAAAAAACTATAAATTTTTGCAAGTATGCAGAGAAGTACATCTAATTTAAGATATTGGTAAAAGCTTCATAGGTTATAATTCAAAATTTTCTTCGAAACAATTATTAAAATTACAAATTTTGGAAGTAAATCAGAAAATTTCTGCAGATTTTTTACTTGTTACCTGCTCCACCAAGCAATACATGGAAAGAGAGGTATGCCCCGTGGAGATTTTTTTAATAGAAACCGGCTCGTACCCAAATTACGCATGGGGAAAACCACGAAAACGCCCATGCAGCGAGCCCGTTCGTCGGAACTCGAAACCCCGAACGAACTACCAGTGTTAAGCGCTTGTACCGCTCGGCCGCTGGTGGGCCATTTTATTTGAATTGAACCTAAGTTTCGGATTTTGAAAGAAAAAATATAAAAGGGCGATAAAAATATATACTCGAATGATTTAACACTGAAAAAGTCCAATTTTGTGTCAAAATATACCTATGTAAGAACAACGCAATATATAAATCTAATGTGTATACAGAGTTTCGGTTTCCGAGCTAAGAAAACGAAAGTTAAATTTCGTCGATCGGCCCAGTAGAATGGGAGATATAGAACCACCTCACCGCTTTTTTGTGCAGCGCGTATCTCGGTGTACGTCATCAATACATTCCAAATTCTTCTTATAAACTTTTCCAA